TATATAAAGTTCATTTTTTCCTTTTTCTAGTTTCATCAAGTGGAAGCTTAGGATATTAGTTTGACACTTTTCTACTATGAGAGTTTATTGCTATCAGTTTTCCCATCAGTACCCTAGCTTTCTCACAAAGTTGGTTTATTTTTTAATTTTTAATCTTTTACACTTCTTTTCTGACCTGTAGATTATTTGCAGATGTACTGTTAAATTACCAGGAGTTAGGGGATTTTCTTATTATTTATGATCAGAGAAAATACTTTCTTTTTAGTTTTTGAGTGTCCCCTTTGATTTACGTATTGTGTTTACCCTGTGTTTTTCCTTTTCTTATTTTTATTTTTAATTTTTAAAATTTTTTACTTTTTTGGCACTGGGGATTGAACTCAGGGGCACTTGACCAGTAAGCCATATCCCCCAGCCCTATTTTGTATTTTATTTAGAGATAGGGTCTCATTGAATTGCTTAGTACTTTGCTTTTGGTGAGGCTGGCTTTGAACTTGAGATCCTCTTGTCTCAGCCTCCTGAGCTGCTGGGATTACAGGTGTGCACCACCACACCGGGCTTGTTTTTCCTTTTTAAAATATTATTAGTATACTTACTGATGTTTTAATATTAAGTGAACTCTTTTATTCTGTGATAAACTCTACTTGATTATGAGGTTTTATCTTTTTATATATTACTAGGTTCAATTTTTAATCTTTTGTAATACATTTCCATCTTCATTTATGAGGTTATTAAGATGCTGGTTTTTTTTTTTTTTTGTTATTGTTGTTATATCTTTGTCTGGTTTTGGTATCAGGGTAATGCTGGCTAAGAGTAATTTTCTGGATGAAGAATTTTTGTAGAATTGATAATTTTTTTTCTTAAATATTCAGCCAATCATCAGGGAGACTATCTGGGCCTGGAATTTTCTTTTAACTTTAAATTCATTTTCTTTAACAAATATATTGAATAAGTGTTGGTTGTATTTTTAAAGGAATTTGTTCATGTCATTTGTAGTTCTCAAATTTATTTGCCTAAATTTGTACTTAATATTCTTTTATTACCCTTTAAAAATGTTTATCATTTTTGGAGTGATATTGGAGTTTGTGACTTGTGGTTTTACTTTGGCTGGTGGTTTATCAATTTTAATGATCTTTTCAAGTAACCAGTTTTGGTTTCATTGATTTTGTTTCAATTGTGTGTGTGTGTATTTTTTATTTTTGCTTTTGTTTAATTGATTTCTGCTTTGAGTTTTATCATTATATTTTTTTGCTTGCTTCATGTTAATTTATCTTTTCTTTAATTTTTTTTTTTTTTTTTAGTTTTAGTTGGACACAATACCTTTATTTTATTTATATTTATGTGGTGCTGAGGATCGAACCCAGTGTCTCGCACATGCTAGGCTAGTGCTCTATCACTGAGCCACAATCCCAGTCCCTTTTTTCTTGACTTCTCAAGGTAGAAATTTAAGCTGATTTAAGATATTTCTTTTTGTATGCTGGCTTTTAGTTCTACAAATTTCCGTTAGCTGCATCACACCAATTTTGATATGCTGCTTTCATTTTCATTTATTTTAGAATATTTTCCAATTTTTCTTTTGGATATCTTAGGATCTATGAGTTATTTATAAGAGTATTAGTTAGCTTGCAAATATTTGGAAATTATCCAAAGATCTTTCTGTTATTGATTTCTAATTACATTGGTATCTAGGAACATACTTAAATAGTTTGAATTTTTTCAGATTTACTGAGATTTGTTTTATAGCCAAAATATGTTATTTTGATAAATGTTCTGCTGATCTTTAGTGGAGTAGTCAGTAAATATTAGGTTAAGTTAGTTGATAATGTTATTCAAGTGTTTTATAATTTTAAAACATAAATTTAAAGCAAGACAATTTTGGCAAGAAAAGGAAATAAAAGGGATAAAAATAGAGAAGAAAGAAGTCAAATTATCCCTGTTTGTAGATGATATGATCCTATACTTAGAAGATCCAAAAAGCTCCACCAAAAGATTACTAGAGCTTCATCAAAGTAGCGGGTTACAAAATCAGCATATAGAAATCAGTAGCTTTCCTTTACACCAATAATGAATCTGCTGAGAAAGGAACCAGGGAAACAATTCCATTCACAAAAGCCTCATGTAGTTAGATCCTATGCATGTCATTTGCAGGAAAATAAACTTGAAAACATTATGTTAATCAAAATAACTCAAAATCAAGGGTCATATGTTTTCTCTGATATATGGAAAGTAGATAGTAAAAGGAAAGAGTGGGTTGGGGGTCATGAAAATTGAAAGGAGATCCTTAGACACAAGGAACCCTGGAGAGGGAGGTGGAGAGGGAAAGAGGAAGCATTGGGAAATAGACAAATCATATAGTTATATGGCGTGTATGTACAAATATGTAACAACAAATCCCACTATTATGTACAATTGTAATTCACCAATAAAAATATGACAAAAATTTACATGTATATTTTTCTAATATGCTTTATATATTTCACATATATGCATCATGGATTCATCTTTATTTTAATAAAGTATTTTCTCTATCACTTCTAGTCATAGGTTTTATTTTACAGAGATTGCATCCCATCCCTCAGGCTCTTTGATAAGGTGGCTTTGACACAAAGAATAGTGCCTACCCCTACCCCCACTTGAACGTGGGCTGTCCTTAATTACTTGAAATCATATAATGTATTAGGAATAGTGTTGCATGGCTTCCATGACAAAGTCAGAAAAGGCCAGATGGAGTGTTCACTTGATTGTGTTGAAATGCTTGATCTGCAGACATTGCTTATGAGATTGTTCTTTCTCAGGACCCATTTGTCTTACTGCAAGAAGCCAAACCAAATGGAGAGGGCATGTTATGGTTTGGATATGAGGTATCCCCCAAAAGCTCCTATATTAGTGCAATAATGTTCAGTGAATGGATCATGTGTTGTAACCTAATCAGTCTATTGTAGTTTGAATGGACCTACCAGGTGGTAACTTTAGGCAGAGGGGTGTGGCTAGAGGAGGTAGGACACTAGTGGTACCTTTACAAGGTTTCATCTTTCCTGTGGGACCCTTTCTCTTCCTCCCTCTGCTTCCTGACCCCACCACAAGCTGAGCAGCTTTCCTCTTAGGGGCTCTTGCACCTGATGTGCTTCCTCACCTCCGGCTCAGAGCAGTGGAATTGGCCATCTGGGTATTGAACCTCTGAACTTGTGATTCAAAATAAACTTTTCCTCCTACATATTTTTCTCAGGCATTTTGGTCTAACACAGGCCATGTGTAGGTTATCTGGTTTACAGTTCTAACTGAGCCCTTCCTTATTCCAGCCCAGATATCAGATATGCAAGTGGTGAAAGAAATAATTTTGCAAGCAGTCACAGCTTTTGCCTCTGTTAAAATTAACATCTGTCATTTGAGTGTTCCTGGATGAGGCCCCTCTGACTATAGGAACCTTAAGCATAATAAAATGTTTATTGTTCTACATCACTTCGTTTGATTAGTAGTTGTTGCACAACCAAAGTGTTAAGGAAATTTCTTCTTTTTCTGTTGGGTTTGAAGGAGGTAAACATTTTAGTTTCTACATGTCTGAAAGTGTCTTTAACCTAACTTTTAATTGGTGGCTTACCTTACTATAGTTTTTTTACATATAAAGTAATTCTCTCACAACCTTGCAGTTGTTTCATTGTCTAGTTGCGTACATTTGCCAGGGAGACATGATGCACATCTGATTCCCATTACTTGTCAAAATGGAAAAAAATTCTAACACAAAATTTTGACTTTTGGGTTTCAGATATTCCATCAAAGTGCATTTGAATATCCATGGTCTTTTTCCATCCAAAGACTCCTGTCTTTTTATTTGCCTAAAGATATTTATTTTACTTTTTCTAAAATCTTATTTTCTTTACTCTTTTAACCCTTTCAGGGATCGTTTACTTTTTGATTAATTGTGATTGGATTTCCTGTTTCACTGTGTTGCCCTTCACCAAATTTAGGTGATTCTTGGATTTTTGTTGTTGTTGTTGTTGATCTTGTTTGCTTTTTGAGAGCTTTTTTGTTCTCCTTTCTGAAAATATATATCAGTTCATAAGAGTTTAGGGATTCCTAGTCTTCTGAGTGTCACTGGATACTGGGAAACTTCTTGATCTTTTGGGAATAAATATCTTTATTTCCTTCTTTCACCCATGGTCTGACAGCAGCAAAGAAGGTAGCTATTTGGCTCCACTGAGTTACTTCATCAAATAACCAGTTTCCTCAAGGGAAGTTTCTTGCTCTGTGTGTTTACTACTTCAGAGCAAAGAGCAACACCCACTTTTAGCATCAGTTTTTTCCTGGGTGCTCTGTGGAAATGTGATTGTCTCCTTTAATCCAATTTCACCTGCCTTTTTGTCTTTCAGAGATTCTTTGTTATTTATTTTCACCAAGGATGCTTAGCTCTTCTTTGTTTTTCAGGGCACTTTGAGAATTTAAGAAGCAGGCAGGATGCTGTAGCAGTTGCTCCTTTTGTCTTATGGTGGAAGTTCTGTTTAATATGAACAGAAGTCTTAAATACTTTGTTTTGTATATGGATCTGCAGTTCTACTTTTTCTTCTGCCAGTTCTTTCTTAGGCTACTCTTTTTACTAGGTAGACAAACTATTCTTATATCACTTAATCTTGTATCTCTTCCATCTAGCTATAAATCTCAGTATCGATAAAAATCTTATTTTTGAGGATTATTTTATTAAGAAAATGATGATGAATTACTTTAATTTTGACCAATCTACATGATCAAGTAAGTGTTGTAATATAGTTTGCAGAAATGTTTGGTAAGATGGTTGCCTTTGTTCCTCACATTGTATTGTATATCAAAAATACATTTCCAATGCTTTTTAGTGAGTAAAACAATCACAGTTTTATCAGTTGGTAAAAGCTGTTTAAAAATATATTTATAGAAGCTTTTATTTTAACAAACTAGAGTACTTCTTTTTCTCCTCGTCTGGTGATTTACTTCAGCCTTTAATAAGGATCTTTTTTTTTTTTTTTCTCCTCCAGAGCAGCATCTCAGACATGTTGAAAAAGATGTTTTGATTCCCAAAATAATGAGAGAAAAGGCCAGAGAGAGGTGTTCTGAACAAGTTCAAGGTAAGAATCCAATATTCCTATAAAGATCAAATTCAATTTTAATAATATGATCTGAATTTAATCCTTAGCCTCAGAGTCAAGTAGTCAATGAATTAATATGTATGAATTGCTTCTCACCCTTTCACTGAGATACCAGTATTTCAGCTTTCAGAACTTCCAGGCAGTGTTCAATTCATTTACAATTTAAAAATATTCTCCCAAATTACTAGTAAAAAAGACACTCTCCCCCACCAAGTATGGTAATGTATAGAGAAAAACTCGGTGTGAGTATTCTGGAGAAACAAGTTATTTTGGTGAGTTTGATAGGGAAAGAACAAACATCTAATCTAACATGTACCTGTTTTTCATCTATCAGCATATTCATGTGTATGTACTAAGATGATTTCCTTAGAACTATTGTCTATTACTGAATTGTTAATGGAATCCCAATAGGATCTACAGTGAGTCTAGGGAGTTTTTAATGTGTGTGTTTCATTTTGTTTTGTTTTATTTTATGTTTCCAAGTAAAGGATATTTATGTAAATGTATGTTACGGGTTCCCACACATGAATATTTTCTTTAAAAAATATTGTTAACATTTAAATGTTCCTATATACTATAAACTTTAGATATTGTTGATTAATATGTAACATTCTAGTGAAAGTACAAACAGTGGTGATAGGTAAAAAATGAGGTCATAATACATCTGTAAATGATGTGTAATTAAAAAGCTGATGGCAATATTTCTGTAGAACTTTCCTTTAAAAAAAAAACTACCATTTGGAATAACCTTCAAAATAAGTGGTAATACTTTACTGACATAGTCTGTTTTCTTCATTCCCCTTCTTCCCTTTCCCCTGTAGTATCTTTGTTGGGGATCACCATACTTCCTAGGAAATGGAATGCAGTTCCACTGCACCTTCTTAACGGACAAACAAGGTCGTGTCAACTCTAGTTTCAAGACTGTGCTAATAATTTTTGGATGCTAAAGAACATTTCTTGGCCTTCCCCACCTCTAACCCTTGGAGATGTTCTTTGCAGATTGTGGATGGAGACAATAAAATAAGAGTAGTTTCTTACCCTTCAACAATATGTGATGATCACTTCTGTTTCTTAAGTTAAATGTCTTATTCTGTGTGGCATTCTGTTTTTAAATCCATCTACAAATTAGTAATTTAAAATAACAATCATTCTGTGGTATTATTCTTGCTTTTACTTTCAGTCAGTTATTTAATAAAAGCATCTTTCAGCCCCACTCCAGGTATCAGGAGAAATTAACCTATTGGCACCTGCAGATAGGGTTCAGTGCACATCTGGCAGTAGCAGGTATCATGCTGACATTCTCAAGAGGTAGCCTTTCACTTGCCTCATAGAACTTCCAAAAATATGTATCCTTGTTCAGGTGAGGGAGGAAAAAACTTCAAAATGGAATAATAAAGTTTTAAGGTTAACTTTTCACTACTAGGAAAATTTACTTGTTACTGATACATCAGTCTAAAGTTATAGGTTGTATTTATTCTGTTTTATAACTCATAATCCTGGTAGCTAGAATGAAAGAAAGCTAGGCTACTCAATTATAGATTTCTTTCTTTCTTTCTTTTTTTTTTTACTGGTTATGATTCAGATGGGTTTCAGAACTCTGCTTATTCTTAGAACCTTTATTTTTGGCTATTTAAGTGAAAGAAGAGAGAATAACTAAACTGTTAATACTTGTGTGTGTTGCCAATGGTATAAAAAAGAAAATGCTTATTTAAATTTTTTTTAATCAAAAATTAGATTGTTTAGGATGTTGACATGTTTAGGGTTTTGTTTTCTTAAATGGAATTTTGTTTTTTTCTGGAGACTAAGCATCTGGAAATCTGAGATTGATTTGGGTTATATTAGTATGTTAATGCATTTGCCCTTATTAGAAAGCATGCTATATCATAATTGATATTTTAATATTTGAATTTTAAGAAATTCAGAATAAGTGGTAATAATATGTTGATTTTTTTAGATCACATGTCCAAAATTGTGTTTTAGAATATAAAATTGATTATTTTATAAAAGAACAATAATCCTTAATATTTCCTCTGTTTAACCATATGAATTAGAAAAGAATATATGTTAGTATTGCCTAAACAGCAGAAGAAAGCTACATTGAAGCTAACAATAAGATGTAATTTAGAATAGGGACACTTTCATTGTAGTTTATTTACTATTTATAGTTTTTGTTTCATTAAATAATTAGGGTTTTACATAAAAGCATTTACATAAAAGCTAATTTTATGGTTCTTGGATAAAGATATAGGAATTTTAATAAGTAATCTGACTTTCTGCTAACTGCCTGAAACATGATTATGTAGGAAAGCTTTTCTGTTTAATTTTTTTTTTATGTCATTTCAACCCAGCTGATCATAAGAATTGGGTCATACTGCCAGCAACTTAGGTTTGTGAAGGGAATAGAACAGCTTTTCCAGGGACAAAGAGAAATGAAATCACTTTCAATGAAAGAAAGATGCCTCATTATAGTCACCAACAGCAGTTATTGACAGCTACACTTCCTATTAACAAGGAGCATTTAACTAAGAGTTTGGCTGTTGGATCTTTGGACTTGATCTAATTTGCTAGCATTAATTAGTTTCTTTTGAGCACAGACACTTGGTGCTCACAGCTATAGATTTGGAGGGCTAATTAGGATAGAAAATTGAACAGAATGGGGTAAGGCATTAACCTTCAACCATTACCAGCTGGGACACTGATAAAGACCACAGAGTCCAAATGCTCCCTATTGATGTGAAGAGTACCCTAATGAATATCAATTTCAGCCAGGTTGCTATATTTTTTTTTTTACTAGTTCTCTATTCATTATAATTTTTTAACCAGCTTCCATGATACCTTCATTATCTATACACTATTGGTTTTTACTATACACTGATTTAGTCTGAGTTGCACATTTCACCTAATATTTAAACAATTACAATTTGTCTTAGCAGATAGCATTTAGAATATTTCATTGTTAATGCTTGTAAAATTTATCTTTGATCTACAATTACATTATTCTAATTCTACAGTACATTTGTACATAGTCATAGTAACTGACTCATTTCAATATGATGAAAACTATAACTTTATAAAAGGAAAATTTCAGCTTTTGGATAACCGGTAGTGTTTGTGTTATTAAGCTGGTATCAACTATAGAGTTTGTCTTTAAAAAATATATTTTTAAGAATGTAAAATAAGAAACATCAAAGTATATGTTTCTTTTTGAAGAGAAAACTAGTGCGTACTACCTTTTCTTTGGGAACTTCGTTGATTTGATTAGTAGAGGTGTCTTGATATAAAGATAGATATAGCATAGAGAACTGTGATCTTATTATTGTGAAGCTTTTTGACAAGATTATAAACTGTTGATAGCAAAATAAAGGTTATTGATTTAAATTCAACTTATTATTTCACCAGTGATATTATTAGTAGTGAATAGAGCCATTGAAATAAATGACTAAAGTGTATGTGTAGACTTCAACACAATCAGCACACTGGAAATGGAATTGACAGAAAATTCTAGAATGGCCAGATCTCTAAGTTTTCCCACTTTCCCTATTTCTCAAAAGCAAAACACAAATCCCCTTCTGCCAGCTGTGGTGATGGAATCATGGTTTTTCTTGGATCTGGGAATTACCAACTCATGTTTTAGGGAGACGGTTTGACAAACTCTGGAGATTGCTTTCAGTGTTGTGCCTTTTCCCAGCTGTTTCACTTCACTATATTAATGATTTAAATTTTCTGTATTAATCATATTTTTAAAATACATATTTTTTGTTACATTTACTGGCAAAGTATGTATTTTGTATTTTAGTATTTAAAATTTTCTTCTGGAAATAGGGCTTCCATAAGAGGAACAGTTGCTGAATTGCAGTGTTTTGTAAAAGAAATTCCTCATTATATTCCGTTGTTCTTTTGACGGACATAGTTGACATTTGGTATAAAGTCTCTATCTTGAATGTTGTTTGTTTTAAAAATAATAAGAGCTTTTCTTTATTTTTACTATGAAAGATCAAGACCAAAAATTATTTTGTCATGAGAGAGCTTGGAAGTTTATTTTACTTAGCTGCATTCTCCTCCTCATTGACTCTCCTATCTCATGGGCCTTCTTTTACATTACTTCGTATTTGTTTTGTGACTTTCTTATAGACTTCTTGATCTTTTTTCCAATGAGTGGGATATAGTTCTGAAGGAATTATATAAAGTACAAGGAAGCATGGATTGTTTGTGTTTTTGAAATATTACAGAACTGTGTTTAAAAAACACAGAAACTTGGTAAAATGCCTGCCCTCTACTATCACTCACATACAACTGCAGTATGTTACTTTTTGCTAAATTTCAAAGATATATGAATAGACAAAAAAGAAAATCAAATTAAGGACACTTAGGATATTCTTTAGGAAATTTACAGGAAGAGAACTGTTAAAATAGCATTAACACAAGTGTGAGGGTTACAGACTACATTCTCCAAGTGATCAGTCTTTGTGCAACTGTGTTACTTGAACCTACCCCAAACTTCTCATTTATTGTTTGAACTGTACCATTTTTATTACACATTTTTTTGTCATTTAATAAGTTTACCAATATTATCTAACACCGAGGTGGAGATCAATATATCTTTAGACTGGTCTGGATAACATATAAGAGAATAATATATAAAAACATCAAATTGATGAGTATCTGTTACATATAAGACCATGGTATATACTCTAAAAAATATACATAAATAAAAGACACAGTTGCTCCTTCTTGGACTTGTCTGGCCTTTGTCAGGGGTCCCCAGGACCATTCCTGGGTTCAGTTGTATTCTAGGAAGACTTATAAGACTCAGCATTTAGTCTTAATCATGGCTAAGATTTATTACACCTAAAAGATGCAAAGCAAAATCAGTAAAGGGAAAAGGCACATAGGACAAAATTCACAGACAACTAGCTTCTAAGAATCCTGTCCCAGTAGAATCTTTTAGAATGTGCTCAATTCCTCAAACATTAAATTTT